TAAGTAAAAGTCCTCAAATTCACAAAAAAATCAATATAAACTTAGATTTTACAATCCCGTTAATCCCGGGATTAAGAGACACCAATCCCGGGATTTCTAGGTATCAAAAATCGACCGGGATTCGGGATCCCGGGATTGAGACCCCTATGCGTGATTGAACTTCAAACAAACAAACACTCAAACTTTCACATTTATAATATTAGTATGATTACGAACGAATACACAACATAAAGCGTATCAGGTTATTTTTTATGCATCCTTTATGTTTGCAAAACAAAAATTTCAGCAGTCAAAATGGCACACGTAAGAGTTTTGTTGTTGTTTGTTGGTTACCGCTGTGTTTTGAAATGTGAACTTTCCTAAATTACTTTATGATGAATTGTGACAAGTGTGAGTTTTCCGTATTGTTTAAAGTCACGGATGCAGGGGTGCCCACAGGGGGGTTTGACGTCGCAGTTTGCGACATCAAATAAAGTAAAGTAGTTTAGTAAAGTAGTAGTTAAGTAAAGTAGTTTTACTGAAAATGTAAAACGATCATTCTACTAATAAATTATTCTTACATTAAATAAAATACAGTGCTACTAAAGGCCTTTTGGCTGTTTCATAAGTTTATGTTATCCACTTCTTTCATCTGCTCCCAACTGCTCCTGTTGACTTGTCTTTTACATTTCTATGTAAATAATTCTTGGTGGAGTATCAAATGTGTTGAGATAAAAAATGATTTACTCAGTCCTGTAGGCTCAACAGCTGTATAATGTAATTCTGATTATTATAATGTTAGTTTGTTTAAGTTGTTATGTAAACAAACTACTAGTCTATTAAATGGTTCTCTAAGAGTTCTTACATTTCTTTTATCCTACTAATAAAATCAGTTTATTACAACAGGTTATGGTGGCCCAGACTCGCAAATAACTGTGTTTATTTATTGGATTTGTTAGTAGGATGTATGTGAAAGAAACTGTGATTGATTGCTATTTGTCTTTTTGAAAAATCTTGTTCAGTTGTCTTCAAGTGTTTTGTCTACCATGGAAATTTCTAAAGTTTATGTACTTGATAAACTGGAGGGTCAATCCAATTGGATAGATTGGAAATTTCAAGTAGTCATACAGTTTCGAGTTCATGGTATAATGGAAGCTGTTGAAGGAAAGCTTGTATACCCTGAGAAACCAGGTGAAGATGAAGATGCTTCAAAGATGGACAAATATCAGAAACAGGTTGCTGTACTTGAAAAGAAAGAATTTTCGGCACAGAATATCATCGTTTCATCTGTTAGCAGTCAAGTAAGACAGCTTATAAATATGTGTTATACTGCACAGGAAATGTGGGGGAAACTTTTGAGTATTTTTGAACAGAGAACTGAACAGAGACAAGACCGTCTGTTTAATGAATTCTTTGGAATTAAGGAAAATGACTCACATGACAGTGTAGCGAAACACATAGCAAAGCTGGAAAAACTTTGGGTTGAGCTACAGGACGAAACTTGGAAAGAAGATAAAGTTAAGCTTCCTGATTCATTATTCCTAAATAGGATGTTGAATACGTTGCCCTGTGAATATAGTGAATTCATTAACGCTTGGGAGTCTGTACCGAAGGATCTGAGGGCGCTGTCATTATTGAGAGAGAGACTGTGTACGGTTGAAATGAGAATGAAGGAGCGAGAAGTTGGAGGTGTAAAGGAGTCTAATGCTGCATTTTACACTGGTTCAAAACATAAATCTTTCTCACAACCTAACTCTAACCGTGTGAAATCAACAATTACCAATGATGTTGGAGTTGAAAATAAGAAAAAGAAATGGAGACCTAAATGCTTTTCATGTAACCAGCTTGGTCACATGAAGAGGGATTGTCCTAATGTCAAACAGTCACTAAAACCTGGAAGTGCTTTTGTTGGACATTGTGGTCGCTCAAAAGAATGCATCGAAGAATGTAATTGGATTGCAGATTCTGGAGCTACGCAGCACATGACAATGAACAGATCATGGTTTGTGACGTATGAGGCATTTTCAACAGTTAAGCATGTTGGAGTTGGAAATGGTCAAACCATGGAAGCACTCGGCAAGGGAAACATAATTGTAGAGATGATTGTGGGAGGAAAATGCAAGATAAATCATTTGGAAGATGTTTGGTATGTTCCTGAAGTAGGCAAGAACTTATTTTCAATTTCCTCTACGTTGGACAAAGGTATAATTTCTACTTTCAGCAAGGACAAATGTAACTTTTTCAAGAATGGTGTTTTGGTTGCTCAATCACATAGAAAGAATGGATTTTTCATTATGAATATGAAAGTTATTCCTATTAAAGATGCTGAAGCTCAAGTTGCTTTGAGAGATAATTTACAACTGTGGCATGAGAGATTAGGGCATCAAAATAAGCGTTATGTTTTGACATACCTGAAGAAAAATGGTATTGAATTCTCAAATTTGGGTACTAAGTCTGAGATATGTGACACTTGTATTGTTGGCAAAATGCATCGGTTGAGTTTTGGTACTCGCAAAGAGCTTGTTAATCAACCTGGTGATCGCATAAATGCTAATGTTTGTGGCCCAATGCCTGTGTTATCAGTTGGTGGCAATCGATATTTTGTCGACTTCAAGGAGCCTGTGGAACAAAACAAAAAGTTTCCTACAACTGAAACCAACTCTTCAACAACTGCAAGTTTACCTGACGAAGAAGGACAGAGGTAGGCCTATAGTTTCAGAGACAGATCAAAATTGAAGCCTCCTGTGAAACTTGCTGATTGTGCCCTTTTGACATGTGTTGCAGAACCTACTAAGTGCAAGGAAGCGGTGAGATGCAAGGATTCTCATCATTGGGTCAAGGCGATGGATGAGGAAATAAAGGTGCTTAGTCCAGTGTTCTGGTGTAGTAAACGTCAGAAATGTGTAGCTTTGTCAACTACAGAATTTGAGTTGATTGCTGCAAAGTTTGGCTGTACTGTAGGGGAAGCAGTCTGGCTCAAGAGAATACTTCAAGATGTAAGGATACATGAGCAGCAGTTTTCTTTTCTGAGTAAAGTGTCATTTTTTAGGGGAAGTGTTGAGATAAAAAATGATTTACTCAGTCCTGTAGGCTCAACAGCTGTATAATGTAATTCTGATTATTATAATGTTAGTTTGTTTAAGTTGTTATGTAAACAAACTACTAGTCTATTAAATGGTTCTCTAACAGTTCTTACATTTCTTTTATCCTACTAATAAAATCAGTTTATTACAACAAAATGTAAACTAATATGAGATGTTTAGGATAATTAACTATGGTTTCAAAATATAAATTGGTTTACCGGAAGCAAACTGTCTAGCTATTTTGTGAAAATCCAACTACTCATTTAAAGTAAAATTAAACTATCAAATAATTTGCACTAGAGTCCGACTCAATAAGTTACTCAAGCAGTTGCATCCTATACTAAACACAACAGAAAAACCCACCATCCTCTTAACCCCTTTTATTATAGAATAACATGTTTTAGATAATAAAAGGATTCCCAATTCCGTCAATTTTATTGAGAATTGACTATCAAAAAGTGCACGACATTTGATTACTGAATGGGAAAGTGAATTATTTATAAAATCCACCATAAAATTAGTTTTCCCTATTGTATTAATTGGCACTTTTAAAAGCAAAATTGTCCATTTAAATTGGGTTAAAAGTTTGATTCAAAATCTTAAATTCCCATAAATTTGCAGCATAATTTAAAGAAGTGTCTGGAACAAACGACTCGGTTCAAGGTTGAAAATCACTTTTCGCACACCTCTAGTGCAGTCGTGTCTATTGTTGCGGCACAGTGCCTTGCCTTCAGAGTTCATCAGTCCTTTTTAAGTAAAAAGATGTTTGTTTTTTTTTTATTACATTTGAAGCAGGTACAATATGAAAGTATGGTAGTTAAAAACACAAGTACTTATTAAGTTGTTCTTTGTAATACTCTAGGGCTATACACAGGGTGGCAAAAAAGTCCTGGGACAGATAAGTATCTAAAGTATCTACTCAAGTAATAAAGATAAAGCTACAAAACTTTGATCAAAGTTAATATAGGCATAATAATCATTTTAACACATTATTAGGTGATACGCCACCTCCTCAGGGGGGCCTATAAAGTCTTTTTTTCTGATGTGCCAGTCAACGTATGCCAAAATTTAAGATTTTTTTCATACTTCTAGGAGGTGATAAATCACTGAATAATGTGTTAAAATCATATTTATGCTCTTTAGTATCTTTGTTCTAATTTTTGTAGCTCTCATCATAAGGTATTATTAGCAAATTTCCCATATAAACCACTCTATTTTTTTGTTTTGTTGTCTCTATAAGCCAAAAACACCATCAGTTCAAACAACATCAAACACATCTATATAGGCATACATATGTTTGTCGTTAGCACAATAACTCATGTACAAATGATCCGATTTTGTTAAAATTGTTTACAAACATACATTTACGTGTTTGCCAGCCAACGTGATAAGGCTATGGGAACTGGGTTTTCATGGGGTGAAAATTGGTTTCCAAATGTTGACCCTCAAACCGTAAAAGTTTGCAATTTTTCCACGCCATATTATAGAGCTTAAAAAATGTTGATTTTCTAGCATTGTTTTATCCAGTTATGGAAAACATTTAAAAAGAACTTTTGTAGTTTGCTCTGTTATGGATAGCTTTTGAACAAATTTGGCAAATCTTTTGATTTCACTCTAAGCTATGGGGGGGGGGGGGGTTATTTTAATTGTTCATTCGTCCCGGCCCGGGCCTTTTGTGCCTCCCCATGTGTATAATTAATAGCATAAATAAAGTTATTCACAATACCAGAAATTGTGTTTGGTTGCCAATCAAAATGTTGATTGGCTCATGACGATTCTACTCTGCCTATTTAAATAAAACGTATCTTAGCAATCTGGCAAGAGTGCAGTTAAGTGTAAAATAAACTAATCAATCTTATGTAGCCTATGATGGTATATGTCGCTTTCAGTCTAAATGTTTATCTAAAATTTGTACCTTAATCATGTATGTTCTTACAGTTACAAAGACACAAAGAAGAAGGCTGTAGCTGCTATGCCTGTTGATAAACACGCCAAATTTTATAATATGGATCATAAACATAGAGGGATTGCAGTTATATTAAATCATGAAAGCTTTGCATCCCACATGAACCTAAAAGCTAGAGCTGGGACAAAAGTAGACAAAGAAAATTTAGAAAAGACTTTGAAGAAATTGGGCTTTGACGTCCATCTCTATGATGACAAGAAAGTTCAAGAAATAGATGAAATTATTGAAAAAGGTAACTTTTTTCATTAAAAAACTTGAGTTTATCACTACAGTTAGAATTTAACAACTGTTGCAATAATTTATGTGTTTTCTTTGCTCAGTCATATTTATTGGCCATAACTCCTTTTAGCGAATTTCCCATATAGGGAATAAGCTATTACCGTAGTACTCATGGTAAGACCTGGACCCGGGACCGATTTTTTTTTGTTTTGAGGTCCCTAGAGGCCAAAAACACCATCCGTTCAAATTCATATATTTATATATATATATATATATATATATGTGTGTGTGTGTCCGTTAGCGCAATAACTCGAGCAAAAATGATCCGATTTTGATGAAATTTGGTACAAACGTGTAAACCTACGTTTATTCGAACGAGTTCGCGAACCAGCATGATCGGACCATGGGAACGGGGGTTTATGGGGGCTTTTATGGGGTAAAAATGGGTTTTTCCCATTTTTGACCCAAAAAAACATAAAATTTTGCAATTTCTTTCCAAACAATTTTGTAGAGCTTAAAAAAACAAATAATGTAGTATATTGAAGCGTTATAATGCGCCTAATGGTTACGGAGGAAATTCCAAAAAATTGTAAATTTAAAATTCTCATGTTATTCTTATGGAGAATAAGTAAACTGTTGTAGTTTGGTTGTTTATTAACATGTTTTGCCCAAATTTGGAAAATGTTTTTATTTCTTACTAACTATTTACATAAAAAAGACACTTTTACCCTCCCTGTTGCAGCAAACCTAAGTATGTGTTAAACTGATTCTATTTAAATAGGGAATAAATGTAATATTTTTAAGGAGATATTTTAGTGTAAATCCAATCAGGCAAATGGAAATTTGCTTAGTCTGCAGGTTTGCTGCGGCAGGGGTATTTTGTATTTTGAATCACTTGATAAAAGTTTTAAGACACTTCAGATCTCAATTCCATATTAAAGAATTCAATAGAGGTATGCATAATATAACATCAAACGAGTTTTTAAGTCAATTGTGTTGTGTTTCTTAAACATATCATTTGATAGCATGCCAAATTCAGTCTACTAATTAAATGTACAATGCTTTTGTTTCAATTTAAATTTGAATCTAGGTACAAACCAAGAAATTGTGCATCATCGTGAACAGCTAAATTTTTGTCTCTAAACTATCTTGCCTGAGCATACAAAACTTTACCAATTGGGTTTTATCTTGATTCATTTTTAGACCGTTAAATGTTGAACCACTGTTCCAGTTCGATAGGGCTTGTTTAGCTTTGCGTGATAATTGGATAATTCTGAGTAATCTTTAGATTTGACAATTGCATTTGTATCTTCAGCATATAAAATAAGGTTGTTAGAGACATTTTTAGGCAAGTCATTATATACTAAATAAAGAGTAAAGGTCCAAGAATCGAGCCTTGAGGAACATCAACTTTAATCTTTTACCATTCTGATATGGTATTGATTTTTCATTATTTTTAAAAATTGCTGTTCTTTGAAAAGATTTATTAATATAAATTCAACCATTAAACAGATTTTTTTGAAAAGTTATAAAAATATTAGGTTTTTATTTTCAAGTATATCATATGGTTGACACAGTCAAATGCTTTAGATAGACCTCAAAACATTCCCATTGTGCTATGTGACCCATCCAAAGCCCATGAAACCTCACTAATAAAATCTGACAAAGCATTCATCGTGCTTAAACCCTTTCTAAAACCAAAATGTTCAATAGCGAAAATACTATTATTCTTAAGAAACTTGAGATTTTTTTAGATGCTAGTTTTTCAAACACTTTTAAAAATTATGGTAGAAGGGAAACTGGTCGATAATTGTCCGGATTTTGTCTCTCGCCCTTCTTGAAGAGAGGTTTGGGCTCTACAAATGTTAAATTATTGGGAAAAGTGTTTATTTGAAAAGATAGATTTAATTATAGATAGGCCTAAAGGTTCAGCTGCATTTTCTTTTGAAAAAATATTTTTTACCTTTTATTATATTTTCATTGGTTTTATTTAATATCTTTAAAAATAACGAGGTGTTAGCCCGTCCTACGTACGGGAATTCAGTAGTCAGTTAAAACCGTGTACAATTCAGATCAGCTAGTTTACACATATAAAGACAAAGTTTCTTGCCGTTTTAATGTGAAAAATCATCTTGTAAACAAATGTTGTGTGACCAAATATGTTTTTATTCCATCATAGGCTTTTACGATATGCATTTTAAATCCGATAATTTTACAATAAAACAGCAATTCTGCAATTTTTACGATGTGAAAAGCGTTGAAGTGAGATTTGCAGCCGATTCGCACAGACGCACACTGATTATAAGTAGCCTACATTAGAGAGAGTAATAGTCAATTAAGAAGTGTATAGACCTAGTCAACGATACTACCTTCCATAGCATACTTGCCTCTTCCATAATTATTATCACCACAATACAACTACTATACACAATTTCCAGTAGGTCTGAATAGAAACGACCTAAAATAAAACGATAATATCCAATAAAATTCACAGTACACATAATTTAACTTTGGTGCCCTAACATCAAAACTAATCGTCACACCTAATTTCACTGCATTAATTGCTAAATAAATAAGTGTAAACAAAGAAAAGTAAAAACAATAAACAGTTTGTTTTGAAACAGCTGTTTGGTTCAAAGAACATTCATTTAAAAAAAAGAACTGGTCACATGTAGCAGGAATATAAAAAGTAAACACGCTAGTAAAGCTAATGACGTAATTGTCAATGTTTATTATCCATCCAGTTATCAGTTCTATCCTTGATAATTACCCACCCTCATTGAATAAATGTACATCGTAATTTCCCATATTAGTTAATTTAAACTACAATATATTAGTAGTTGAAATAAAAATGATATTTTCACATTTGGGGGTGCTGATATAGGCACCCCCAAACGTAACCACAACTGAACACGATTTCATAAAAGGATGGTTTGTGTAATTGCAGTATTCTAGGTAAATGTTGACGTTGTGTTCAATAATCTATGTTATCCATCTTTGTATAAAACCCGGCTGAGGTTGTGGTGACAATTTAAAATCGTGATTCCTGATTATTCTTGATCTTCTTTTTATGGCATCAATATTTCCGGGCCTAATCCAAACAAACAAAGTTAAAGCAGACAAACATGAATTTTAAACAAAAAGCTACCATGAAGAATTAAAACATTTAAACATTGTTGTTTTTCTAATCTTTCCTTGAAAATTGGAGCAGTAAAATAATTTGCATTTATCCTTTTTTATCAAGACTCGTGTACAGAGCCTCGATTTGTACTGTGGTTTAATTAATTTTGGTCTAAACTATTTTAAACTGTGGTCTAATTATCTCTACTAATCTTACTTATTTCCTATAATCAATGACAAAATAAGAGTATATAAAATAACCTCATAGTTCCATAGTTTATATTTCACCAGCTGATAGTTAAAACAAATTATATTGCTCTAAAACAAATCGAAGATTACAAAGATTGCTTTAAAAATAATTTGAACATCCTAGTATTTTACTATGTATATTTAATTAATCTGTCATCCTCTTACAGTAGAATTGGACGTATCAATGATCAGCATTACACATAGTACCCTATAAATAAGTCAACCCTAAGTTTGCTTTACATTTTTATCCAAATGCTGAATTTGGGACACAAAAGCTGAATTGTTTACAGCTGTTATGTTAAGCAAATTATTTTATGCCAAAAGCTAGTTTAGAATCTTAGCGTCGGCTGCTAGACTTTTTAAAAATTAAAACTTAATTTCTAAAAAACTGGGACCCTAAACTAAAATTATGGCTTCGACATTCCCTAGTTCTCAAAATTATCTTTCTTTCAACACAAAAATCGTGAAAATCCGTCGAGTGGTTGATTCAGGATCGTGAAATAAAAAAACACTGTTTCGTTTTAATATTATAGATGCTCTGTGATCATAGATGCCTAATGGAAGGTATGGGGGTTTAGGGAGTGGGAGAACCTTTCACGCCGTTCCGGCCAAACCTCGCATGTGGGGTTGGTTCGGCAGATTGGCCACACCTAAACTCCCAACTCTCACTTGTTAGCTGTGGAAAGCTACTTTCTGCCACTGGGTGTCGGTCTACCTACAGAACCAAGTGATGGGGGCCCTAGACTATGGTGTAATGCGATCTGTGCTGAGAGTCTTGTGGCACTGGGGGCCTAATATTCAGTGTCTTAACGGCAACGGAGTCTTCTGGGAACCAGGGGGAACCCAGTCGTACCCTTACCTCTCTAATTGGGTCACAGGGGACCCAATTAGATACCTAGATACCTTAGATACCTAGTATTCGTGGGAACAACGTTGACAATCTGACCCCAATGGAGGAGGAAGGTTTACTGAAATCTGGCAAGTTTTGAAGATTGAGGATAGCGGTTGATTTAGCCAAGGCGAAAAGGTGCTATCCAAAAGAGAGAGGAGGCAGGCATGGGCTCTCAAGCACCCGAACCCTGCTCCCTGCAAAAGCCAGTTCCTCCGGGAACCAGGATGCTGGTAAAAAAGCAGGGCGAGGGCGGCACCACCAAAGCTGACTCCAATGAATCCTCCAGGAAGAAAGGTGGAGAGAGAGGACGAGAGCACCTGACACATGAGGATGTCTGGGGCGAGAAAAAGAAGACGAGGACGAAAGAAGACCCTGCGGAAGGTGGTTGGCTTCATCAGCGGCCACTGGGTTTGGAGAATGAGGACCTGTGAATGAGGGTGCATAATAAGCTGTTCCAGCTGCGATGCAATCCCGTCACTTGTAAGCCTGGCCCTCTGATAAAAAAATAAAAAGAGATGCCTTATTCTAAATTCATTATTATTGATAATGACTGATGATGATTAATTTTCCGTGATAAAATATTATCAATGCAAGATTTTGTGGACTGAGTAATTCTCGTTGGAGAGGGAAAATTTATTTTGAAACCCTATTGCTCCAAAATATAAATTAACTTTAACTTTTGCTGTGGGTGGCTGCAAGTTTCCAGAACATTAAAATCAAGATTATAATTTTTGTTACATGTAGCTTTAATCAGAATTTTTAGTAAGCCTTTCAACTTTCTAAGAAAATGTTTATAGTTATCTAAATTAGCTTGAAAGTGTTCTGTAAATAGAAACAACAATTATATTTAAAGTAACAATTACAATACAAAAAATTTCAAAGACAGAGTTTTTGTTTAAGGCACATAAATCATTTCTTACTTTACCTATATTCTAAATTGTCCCTTAATAGTATGCAAGAACCACCTTGAATTTCTTCCTTCCTGCAAAAAAAGTCTCCTAAGGTATAGGAATACTATTTAAAATTAAAATATAATTTTTAAACCAGTGCTTGTTCAGGCATACCACTGAAATGTTTGAATCAGATAATATTATTTCTTAATCATTCTTTTTGTTTGCTATGCCGCCTTCAATATTCAAGTGCATTAACCAATTAAATTCATCATCAATGTTAGCTGCGCTACATACTGGTCATAAAACATGCCCATAGTATAGTGAAATTGCAATAACTTTTAATCTGTAACTTTTACAGTAATGTAGGTCATACCATTTTGTCTTAAGTTAAGGACTACAAAATTTTAATCAAAATTGTTCGAGCTAAGTTTTGAAAACTTTTTGTTACTGTATGGGCTTTTATGGGAAAATCACTCTTAAAAATCACAATTTAAAATAGGAAAAAAACTCCTGGATATACCATGGATTAGTACCCACATACCAAATTTTATCATAACATACACCCATAGGGGCAAGAAAGTAAACAGGTATTGAATGAAAGTCTATTGTAACCATTATTCTTTGTTTCAGCAAGCTCAGTAGACCACTCTAACAACGACTGTTTCCTTCTGGCATGTTTGTCACATGGAGAACAAGGTATCCTGTATGCCAGTGATGCTCCTTACAAACCAGAGAAACTGTGGAACAGATTCACTGCAGACAAGTGCACATCGCTTGCAGGCAAACCCAAGCTATTTTTCATCCAGGTATTTATCTGTAATATTTCATTTCATTCATTCATTATTTCGTAGTAAGTTTCTTAAAATGTTAACTTTTGTTCATACACCTTTGTTATTAATCACTCCTCAGAAAGGCTCGCCTAGTATTCATTTTCCTAATTTATATAATTTCATTAATCTGTTCAATTAATCTGTTCAATTAATCATTAAAAATATTAATTCCATAGCCTATATATTTTTTTACAAAGTCCACAACTTAATTATTTATTAAATATGTAAGGGAATTGGAATACATCAAAATTTTTTATAATATCATTTCAAAATTAGTCCTTAAGGAATCAAAATTCAAGAAGCAGTGAAACAGTGATCCATGTGTTCAACAATTAATTATGTGAACATTGAGATTGGAATAGAGGAGGAAGACATAGTTGAAAGTTGAAACTGTTTAAAGAAGGAGTCCACATTTTATCTCAGTTAAATTAATTAATATCATCAAGAAAAACCCAGTTTATATTCAAGTTATATCACAGTCAACCTCAAGAGGACTAACTTTAACATTATTTTTCAAAAATTAAGTATAAACTTTTATTTTAAACTCTTTTAAATTCAGTACTAATTGGACTTACCTTTTGGACAACCTCAAAATTTATTTTTCATTGTTGGGATTTTGTAAGTTTAACATAATTATTTGGACACGATTTAATTTATTAATTCTTAGCATTCAAGCCAGCACGACACCCTACCCTGAGATATAGCACATTTAAATTATACTATTATAAATTTGAACCTTTATTTAAAACTTATCTTCAATTTTATTTCAATTTCAGCCCACATTACATTGTCAGTCCTTTCATATTATAACGTAACTTAGCCTTTTAAATTTCATTGCATGTTTGTTCATTTGTTTAAATAAAATACCTTTTGTAATTTGTATATCTTTGTTAACTTATTAACCTTAAACATTTATAAGAATAGGCCTAGCCTAAAATGAATATTGTGAGGTGAGTTTACATATCATATAAGCCAAAAACATTCAGTTCCTATTTGTAAACATTTAAATATCAGGTTGGAAAATGCACAACTTGATAAAAAAGAAGTGGTACATCCAACTTAGATATCCATCCCTAATGCGCTATCAGCCACGTAGAATATATATACAGGGTGTTTCAGTAAAGCGTAGCGGGCTATGCAGATTCAGATTCTACATTCAAAAATAAGTCGAAAATGTAGAATAACTTTTTTTTGATTTCGGCTTAGTTTGGCCGTAATCCGCCATTTTGTATTTTTTTGAAAATAATTAATAACTCAAAAACCCTTGGAGATACTTTTATGAAACTTGGTACAAACTTTAATTCTACAGGTATAAACATTCTCCGAAAATATCTTTGATCAGGCTCATCAAATTTCAAAATGGCGACCATTTAAAATTTTTGTTTTAATGGCCGGTTTTCATTGTATTTACTTAAAAAATTTTAAATGGCCGCCATTTTGAAATTTGTTGAGTCTGATCAAAGATATTTTCGGAGAATGTTTATACCTGTAGAAATAAAGTTTGTACCAAGTTTCATAAAAATATCTCCAAGGGTTTTTGAGTTATTAATTATTTTCAAAAAAATACAAAATGGCAAATTATGGCCAAACTAAGCCGAAATCAAAAAAAAGTTATTCTACATTTTCGACTTATTTTTGCATGTAGAATCTGAATCTGCATAGCCCGCTACGCTTTACTGAAACACCCTGTATATATATACAGGGTGTCACAAAAAAGTGTGATGGGCTATACAGGACCTAATTATACATGCAAAAATAAGTCAAAAATGAAGAATAAAATTTTTTGGATTTCGGCTTAGTTTAGCCGTAATCCGCCATTTTGTTTTTTGGGGAAAATATTTATTATTTCAAAATCCCTTTGAGATATTTTTACGAAACTTGGCAAAATTGTTTACACTATAGTAAGTAACATTTATAAAAAAAAATTATTATTTTAACTTTCCAAATTTAAAAATGGCGGCCGTTTGAAATTTTTAATGCCAAATTTCATGAAAACCGGTACCTAAATAAAATTTTGTAAGACACAAAAGTTTTAGTATTTATTATAACAAATCCAACAAAACAAAAATGAATAAAATCGGTTCATAAATAAAGAAGCTGTGTTTATTTTAGTAATTTAGACTGAAATTATTAATATTAAAATGTATTATATGTAATGTAATAATTTATGTAACGTATTAAGTAATTTCAGTCTAAATTACTAAAATGAACACAGCTTCTTTATTTATGAACCGATTTTATTCATTTTTGTTTTGTTGGATTTGTCATAATAAATACTAAAACTTTTGTGTCTTACAAAATTTTGATTTAGGTACCGGTCTTCATGAAATTTGGCATTAAAAATTTCAAACGGCCGCCATTTTTAAATTTGGAAAGTTAAAATAATATTTTTTTTTTATAAATGTTACTTACTATAGTGTAAACAATTTTGCCAAGTTTCGTAAAAATATCTCAAAGGGATTTTGAAATAATAAATATTTTCCCCAAAAAACAAAATGGCGGATTACGGCTAAACTAAGCCGAAATCCAAAAAATTTTATTCTTCATTTTTGACTTATTTTTGCATGTAGAATTAGGTCCTGTATAGCCCATCACACTTTTTTGTGACACCCTGTATTTGCATAAATTAAAAAGAATAATAAAGAAAATGTAAATTTTCCTTTTTTAGAAACAGAACAATAGCCTACATTTCTCCATACAATCTAGCAATATTTGATCTAATTAATATATATATATCAACAATTCTTGGTATAAAAATAATACATTTTCATCTTAGAACTAATGTAATTTTGATACCTACTGTGTCTTGAAGCTGTAAGGTAAAAATGTTAGTTGTTGAGTTTCTCACGTAGGTAAAGCTTGAGATATCAAGGGTTTAAACAGAAAATTTGAGATCCTGAAGTGATTATTTCTATGGTGTTATGTCACGACCTTCATAACTAATAATAAAAACTGTAACGTTTAAAATGACAGCTTTTTCAAACTTTTACTCAAACAAAAAAATGTCCAAACACTGTACAGCGAAATAAAGAACAGAACAATAGAAAGTCTAGAAACCTAGCTAGTCATAGACTACTGTTACGCTGTTTCAAGACAGAAGAATGTCGATCAAAACATTAGATAACACATTACAAAAAATAATAGTAGCCTACTTATAACAACATAACACATAACAAGAGTTGTAAAATACACCGATAAAGATAACAATGACATAAAAATATCGGGTTTTCTTTCTCTTTGTTTTTATTCTTTCTTGAGTTTCTTTTCGTCCACCCATTCAACAAGTTTTCATGGTTACTTTACTAATCACCCAATCACAGGCTACTAAAGTTGTCATGATTACCAAATGCCCAGTCACAAAGTGTTGTGACACAGCAAACGCACAACAGACAGATGTGTCATGTGTAGGCCTAAGGAGCAGACGATTGTCAGTGCAAACGGATAGCTTGACCTTGAAGCTTTGATCACAATCCTTTGTTTTGCTTTCATTTTATTTTTGTCAAATGAACTGTGATTTTTCAAAAACAATAATGTGGGAGCCTACTTGCAATTAATAATGGGCAGAAATGGTTAAATGTAACTTACAATGAATTTTGACACATTAGACTAAAAAACACAATTCATAAAGTTTTCTAGTTTTTTTTTCTTGGACAATGAGGTTTATAATAGAGGAAGCCTATGGTATTGGCGGCACGGTCGGACCAAGCGAGGAGTCGGACCATCTGAGGTTGGATTAGAGAGGTTCTACTGTATACAATATCCTATTTGAAATCTAAACATGATATGTCACTATTTAAAAATTCTTCCTGCGTGTAGAATGCTTTTGATTTTAAAAACTCGGTAATTTTTCTTTTAAATTGGTTTAAAGGTAGTTTATGAAAACAAGTGGGTAGCTTGTTGAAGAAAATATGTTGTATGTGTATGTAAAAATGGCTATTTAAATATTTTGAAAGTTGGATTTGAGGTGTGACTAGGTTATATTTGTACGTTGTGTTGCATGGATGAGAATAGCTGGACAATTTTAAAGGGTTTTTTTTATATGAATTAAATTACAAGGAATGTACATAGATGGCAGTGTAAGCAAATTTAAATTGGAAAAGTGATGCCTACAGGATTCCTTGATCTTGCAATCCTCAACATCTTGCAAACATACAGTTCAGGTCCTGTTGTATTACTGTTAGAATTGTTTGTTTGCTAGGCATGTCAAGGGGACAAGTTGGATGCAGGGGTGACTTTGAAACAAACTCAGGTTGATTCTAGTCCTTCATATACAATACCAGCCCATGCTGATTTCATCATCGCGTACTCCACCATACCTGGTAAGAAATAATTGGGAATCAGATTGTTTAAGTCATATAGTATTACTGACTCTTCACACCATTGAAATTTAAAGAAATATATAACAATTATCTATAGAATATAGTATAACCTCAATGACAAGACACTTTTGATGATTAATAAATACGTTTTAAGGCCACACTCCCCTCGCCGGCCATATTGGATTAATCCTCCATAAGCACAATGCTGACCTTCCCTAATTTAATTGTTATTTTAATACTTTTCAACCGAAAATTACAAATGCGGTGTCGGTTGAAAGGTAATATAATCCCAAATGCAACTCGTGGACCAAATTGTAAAAATAGCGATTTCAGTTTTTATAAATAAAAATAAACTAATAAACATGGATAAGTTTACAATATTTTTGGTCATCTTCAAAGCAAGCTTCATCTTGATTAATGTAAAAAAAAAAAATTAAAATCCGATAACTCATCATGTTTGGTTACGCGCCTCGTGTTCGGACTACTTAGCCAAGTTTTTTATATTTATATTTATGCTTTGTGTTATGTGTCCTAAATGTGCTGATGACCTCATTCATGGGTGAGAAAACTGTATTTTAACTTTCTTCCAACCTGAAGATGATCTCGCTTAGCAGCACAAAACAGCTGTTATTTGATTTATAACACAAGGATCAATTGACGCAACAGGTAAACTAAACCCTTTATATTTTGCATTATCTTGATCCAGAGGCTAACCCATCATGAAATTCTAGCAAGCTAGTCGCGAATAATTCTCTTCCTCGGACAAAATCATGATTTCCTCTCTCGAGGCTTATGCTCTCTAGCGGTGAACTAAAGTATTACTAGACAACAACAGCTTATCGAAAATTCACTTGTTGAGCAGGTCTAGTTTCGTCTGTCGTCTGTCAGTCAACAAACACCAGTCTTGAGGTTATGTTATGTCGTTGTCAGCGTTAACCCTAGCAGTGGCCAACCGTCACCGGGTGACGGTTTGCCGTTGATGCTTAGAATGACCACCTTTTACGGTATGGGCCGAAATTATTTTAACGGCAAAAAAAACACTCTTAATCAACTCAGATGAGAACAATATATATACCATTCAAAAGATCACATTCCGAACTTTCATTTTATTACATAAACAAACCCTGTAGCAGGTATATAACAATGTCAGACGATTAGAAATCGAATGAATTTTTGGCGCGGCACGACTTTTGCAGCCGAGACTTGGGAACTGGCAAAACACGTCTTGTTTGGCATTACCCTGCTCGGATAATTTTCGTCTTGGGATGTTGCGGGTGGTACCACTGGATAGCCATTGATTTTATCTTCATTGTGGTAGTGATATTTTAGAACTAAATATTGATTGGACAACCGGTACGATTTTATGAAAACAGCTGTTTTTTAAATTTATAACAAATGGCCTACCGTCACAAGGTGACAGTATGGAAAATACAAATTACATACAGTGTAAGTTATTATTACTAGTCATATTATATGTCATTTTGAAGAGGAAGAAATGTAGCTTGCGATAGTGGCAGGCCTGCGCTCAGGGTTATTTCCGTTTTCTCTCACTAAGACGACGAAAGTGTGTCACTACTGTCAAGGTCTCATACACATTCGCCATTGCCTGTGAGTTTTCGCTCTCGTTTTATCCGCGATTGATTACTAAATTTGTTATTATTTCGTATTTTTAGAGAAATGTGTATGTGTATATAACAGTAATCTTCATGCATTTTATTATGCATGAATATTTACTGAATAGTGTAAATTGTGTTTATAATAGGTTGTATTTTTCTTGCGGTTGTATTTTGCGGTTTTCTGTTTATTTGTATTATTATGCCCCTAGCACGTAAAAACAAAAATTGTTACCCAACGTGTTATACATTTTTATGTAGGTAATTGAATACACTACAAGATGTTTATATTGGTTTGAAGTAATACCCCCGCCGCAGCAAACCTGCAGACTAAGCGAATTTCCATTTGCCTGATTGGATTTACACTAAAATATCTTCTTAAAAATATTACATTTATTCCCTATTTAAATAGAATCAGTTTAACACATACTTAGGTTTGCTGCAACAGGGAGGGTAAAAGTGTCTTTTTTTATGTAAAATGTTAATAGTTAGTAAGAAATAAAAACATTTTCCAAATTTGGGCAAAACATGTTAATAAACAACCAAACTACAACAGTTTACTTATTCTCCATAAGAATAACATGACAATTTTAAATTTACAATTTTTTGGAATTTTCTCCGTAACCATTAGGCGCATTATAACGCTTCAATATACTAAATTATTTGTTTTTTTTAAGCTCTACAAAATTGTTTGGAAAGAAATTGCAACATTTTATGTTTTTTGGGTCAAAAATGGGAAAAACTCATTTTTACCCCATAAAAGCCCTCATAAACCCCCGTTCCCATTGTCCGATCATGCTGGTTCGCGAACTCGTTCGAATAAACGTAGGTTTACACGTTTGTACCAAATTTCTTCAAAATCGAATCATTTTTGCTCGAGTTATTGCGCTAACGGACACATATATATATATATATAAATATATATATATATAAATTGGAAACATTATAACAACATTAAGTACCCTTTTAAATTCATTTTAATTAAGAAACGACATGTTTCGACACTTAGGTCATAGTCATGTTTTTATACAAATACAATAACAGATTAATGCAAAGAATAAATATAATCATATGTTAAGCTAACTTCAAATTTAGAGGATCTTGATCTATTCTTTGTTTAATTTTGCGTATATTATATAATATTTCTGTTTTATTGCAATTGTAGGATTTTTTCGAATATCGGATTTGTTTTGTTGATGTTCATGGTATTCAGTAAATTTTGAGGAAATCTTTTGTAATTTGTGCATATATGAAAATCTTCCTTGACATTTAATTTTGTTTTATTTCTTTCATATTCTAGAATTTCTAAATTTTCATTTATATTTTTGTATTCATGTCGAGTTTCGATAAGGTGCTCTGCAAAATTTGATTTCATTGTCGTTTGGTTACCTGATTTTAACGCTTGTATATGTTCTTGGAACCTTTTTTTAAAGCTACGACTTGTTTGGCCAATGTAGGATTTATTACAGTCTGAACATTTAATTTGATAAATGCCTGATTTGTTTATATCTTTAACTTGGTTGTTATATGCTTCATTAGAAATTTTGTTTTTTATCATCTGAAAGGCATTATTTTTAGTTCTGTAACTTATTTTCAAATTAGAATTTTGGAAGGTTTTTCTTGTTGCGTTGTTTAAGGTTGTACTATGGGGTATGCAAATAAATTCTTTTCTATTGTTTTCTTCAATCGATCTTTGTGTTTCAAATTTCTTCTTAATTTTCTTTTGAATCATTTTTTCAATTATAGAAGATTTGTACCCATTTTTCAAGGCTAAATATAGGATGATGTTTTTCTCTTTTTCAAAATCTTTGTTTGACATTGGTATATTTACTAATCGATGTGTCATTGAATGAAAAGTTGACAATTTGTGCTGCCACGGGTGATTTGAATTTGATGGTATGATTATGTCTGTTGTAGATGGTTTTCGGTATATTTTAAACTTATGCTTGTGTCTTTCTTTCGAAATTGATATGTCTAGAAAGTTGATTTGTGAATTTTGTATTTCTTCAGAGAATTTAATTTGCGATGAAAGAGAATTTATGTGTTTATGTATTTCTTCTGCTTCAATTTGAGTGCCTTCAAATAGGCAAAGAATGTCATCCACATATCGGTACTAATATAATATTTTTGATTTGTAAGGATTTGTTTCGTTTAAAATCTTGGTTGTTTCTAGATTGTTCATGTAAATATCTGCTAAAAGTCCAGAGAGGGGAGAGCCCATGGGTAAACCGTCTTCTTGTATGTAAAATGAATTGTTGTATTGAAAATAATTTTGGTTTAGTGTAACTTTTGTTAGTTTGATTACGTCATTAATTTGAGGTCTTAATAAATTAATAAATATATATATATATATATATATATGAATTTGAACGGATGGTGTTTTTGGCCTCTAGGGACCTCAAAACGAAAAAAAAAATTGGTCCCGGGTCCAGGTCTTACCATGAGAACTACGGTAATAGCTTATTCCCTATTAGGCTAGTCAATCTAGAGTCAAAATAAGCCTAACATCAAACTTAAAGCAATAGATGAAATATATGGGATTTTGTCAACAAAGGGGTCCAGAACATCATACTAAAAATCGAGAAAAATCGAAGTGGCGGAAAGCCGCCATATTGGAAAAAAGCTTCCGCCATATTGGATTTATGTAAGCTTTTAGTAAAATGGATATAGTTTGAAAACTAAGCGTCTTAAAAGTCTCCGGTTTGTTTTAATAGCTTCCTCATTAAGTCTACTTCAAGATAACAACAAGTTTTATATTATTTAATTATTTTTTTGTTTAAATGAGACAGCTTTAAATTTAAAAAATACCAAATTTCAAAGATTTGTTTGGTAAAACCTTAATTTTTTTGCAATTACAAACTCGGGTGATATAAACATACATATTTTATGGCTATTAAAAAAATCTGCATTAAATCTCGAACAATAATAATTATCATATCAGTTTGTATCTTGCTTTGAAGATGGGATATATTATGGGATATATTTGTTATTAGTCTTCAACTTGGAACGCTAGCCGTGACGCGCGATGCACCGCTACATCTAATCCGGGTGAAATACACTTTGAGGTAAGAAAATTTACTTTAAGAAAATTTAAGCCATATTTTGAAATCATTTATACAGGATAATATATTAACAAAAATCCGACAAAATCCGAGCATGGGAACACTGAAAAAGTAGACGTTTTCAAACATAACAAAATTCAATTTTTCATAATAGACAATTACAGTAGTAGACAGAGAAATATAAGAAATTACCTTAAAATTCTTTTCAATGTAACGTTTTATAGTTTTATTTTTAGTGTTGGGTTTGTTGGGAGTGACATACTAAAAGTTATTAAAAAAAGAGTCCGCCCGAAAACCCCTAAAACGACTATGAAAAATGGCGGCT